TGCAATTTGACACAAATTCAAGCGAATTGACAGCCACCACACAGCGCAACATTTATGCAGAATGCATTTGAGATATTGTATTCAAATGCATGCTCATATTGCGCGTGTAACACTTTCCATTCTGTCCCATCATCATCATCTTCTCTCTCTCTTTCTCCCTGTGCGTGTGTATGTGTCTGCTCGCAATGCGAGCCCCCGATGCGCTCTCTTATCCACCTTTCAAATGGAAAATATGCGCAGCACCGTAAAATGCATGTCAAAAATTCATATTTTAAATGGACGGCAATATATGTAATGCATCGTATGTTTAACTCGATTATGATCATCGAAAAGGTAGGAAATAAAAGTAATGCGAAATGATACGCTTGTCAGATGCACAAATAAATAGGTAATGTGTTGAATACAGGTGGATATATGAAAACAAAAAAATTGAGAAATAAAATCTATAAACCATATTATAAACAAGTGTACCGCTATGTTGGCCAAGTTGTGAAATCGGTTTCACATCGAGAACTGGTCAGCGCTGTATACATTGGGACCTGTAGGCACTTTAGTAGATTAGAGACAGAGACAAAGAGAGAGCGAGAAAAATTCCCAAGCGACAAAACACGTTTTACTGTGAATAGGTTCGCATTTTTTTTAAACTGCCAAACCGTCTCGATAGCCCTCCAGCTAGAATCGGTGCTGTTTCTGTTTGTGTGCAATAGCACAAAATAAAGTATTCTATCAACAAAAAGTAGAGAAAAAAACACCGTGTTCAAGCTTATCGTGAAACTCTGTCATTGTTGTGGTTGATTGCTGCGGCGCATTAAACTGCAATAAACGTTTTCTTTTTCTCGCTGACTTTGGTTCACTTCGGTTGGGTTCGGTTCGCAAAAGCAGCTACTCAAATAAATTGCAGCGCAAATATTTACCGGTAACGCTATTTTTGTGTCTGCTCACATTATCTTTATGTTTGTCACAAATTGTGTGCGCGCTGCGCGCTCATAAAGCAATAGCCAAACCAAAGCAAAAGAGATACTTGTATTTCGAGTCATCTTATCATTCGGTCGTGTGTGTATACTTCGTTTTTTTTGCTTCAACTTGTGCTTGATTGCTGCTAATTTGCTCAGTTAGAGAGCTTTACTTACATTGACGTTACTTATATGCCTCTTGGTACAAAACGTCGTTATTGACTCGGATAATTTTATGTCGTGTACAAGCAAAAATTATTATTTAAACAAAAATTTTTGTTCAAATAAATAAAAAGTAGACAAATATCGTTGCCAAGACGTATAAACCCCGACCGATCATGGGAATGAAGCATGAAAATGCAATCAAACATTAGCGTACATTCCTAACTGACACAAGAAGAAGCAAAAAAGGAAAAAAAAATCCGAAAAAGCCATTGCGTATAATTTCATTTTGACAACAATAATGATGATGTAGCTCGGATGGATTTTTCTTTGTGCGCATCGGGTTTTTGGTCATAATGTCACCGCATTAAAGTCTCGAAACGGCAAACCAGAACAAATGACGAAGAAAACGAAAATTATGGGCGATTCGCCCGAGTGAACAATGAGTTGAACACTCATTTTTGACTCATCGCATACATCTACATATATGGCGCATTCATTTTAACGAACTATTTCTGTTTCTTTTCTTCTTTTTTTTCTGTTTCTTAATCTTTTCGAAGATGTTTCATTCAGTTCCGAGGAGACGGTTCATTTTAAAAAGATGCCAATCGCAAAGCCGGACTTTATGAGTTGTTCGTCTTTTTTATGATTATAAGTATTGTGTGATTTGCCAAATGAATTATGCATACGGTCCAGTTGATGTGTGAGCGCACACCTATTTCTTATCCACCTAAGTGGCTTTGTGGTTGGTTAATTTTTTCTTTTCTCTCGGAATCAGCACGATTATTCAGATTTCTAGTGAATCGAAGCATGGCTTCTCATTCTTATATAGGTATACTGACCACTTGTTAAGAAAACCAAGGCGAAAACTTCGAGATGAATGACAGTGGAGTGTAAAAATACCAGGGAAAAGAATTGCCAACATTCTTTAACCGTTTAGAATCCAAAGTCAATCATTCATATTGCTAACGATGTTTGCGGCGTTGTCTGCGATTCGACCTTAACTTGGCGCGATACAAAAACGCACCATAATTGGTAAACGCGAACATTCTTCGTGGAATTAAGGAAATATGCTCTCGGACTTGCAGTTCAACGCCATTTACAAATGATCTGCAAATCAATGAAATCATACAAAAGTAGTTTATAATCCACTTTTTTTTCTCGGATCTGTCTCTCTGTCTCTCCGTCCCTCCGTCCCTCCGTTTCTCTCTAATTCGATTCCGTTGCATTCCGAGAAACAGATGGAATGCCAAGAAATCAAACGAATGTATTTTTATGCACAAGAACGAAAAAAAAGTATGCATTGACTGACATACCATAGTGTGGGGAACATGCAACTGTCAAGCACCTTATCCCATTTGTAACGCGTGTGGAAGGGAAAAACTGCGTGTAATTGTAAGAGAGGGAGAGAGGGAGAGAGAGAAATTTGAGAAAAACCGCCGAATAGCAGCGATCCGAGTGTTCGAACACGGGCGATTGAAATAGAAAAAAATGCCAGAAAACATTGACGTTTCCGTGAAGTGAATAATATTGCGTGAACGTGCGACGGAATATGTTTCGACAATTCAATAGCATTTGCCGTTGCTCTTGTTGTTGGAGAATGCAGTAAAAATAGAAATAATAGATGAAGAAAGAAGCAGCAGCAGCAGCAGCAGCAGCAGCATGTTCGGTTCTGGTTTCAATCGAACAAAGAACGATCTAAATACCGAGTCGGTTTCACAATAGTGCGAGCGCGCACGCGAGAAAGAGCTGCTAAATTCCATAAGATGAACGAAGCGTTCCTGTGCATGCGTTTCGTAAAAAACAAACAACAACACACATTTCATCATCGTTATCGTCATCATCATCACATTTTCGCCCAAGCAACCGAATAAAAACATTCACTCGAAAGTAGTCTCAACCAATGTGTTTCATGAAATGAACACAAGACAAAAAAATTTACACAAATTTAAATTAAAATGAGCCTTTTTTTGAAATCAGAAAAAATCTTTTTTACTCGTCTCGGCTGGAATTTCTCTTTTCGTTTAGCACAAACTCGGAAAAAGGCCATTTCTTTGGCACACTCTTGCATTTCATTTCACGAGACGTGCACATACACGCTGAGTTTCTACATCGCCCGTCTATTTGATACGATATATTGTTAGTGCAGGCCATCTGTACCGCCAGATTTGCCGTGTACTTTATGCGCTCACCGTTTGCGCTTCGTGCACACATATTTTCTCTTTTTGGGTTTTTGTCGCTGTTTCCGATAGTCACAGTCGCGCAAATGTTATTTTCATCGTACAACACAACACACACTCGCTCTTTTGCTCACTCGTACAAGCTTCGCTCAGGTTTAGGTGCCTTTTTATGCCATTTTTTTCATGTTAAATTTGTAGCCGGATCCATAGCAAGCTACATACAACTCACTGCGACGAGAAACGTACAGAAAATTGCAACGGTGAATCGTTCGATACAGCCAGAGTATTCGCAAACAAAAGTGTTGGGCGCAAGATGCAAGACAGAAAGAAAAAAAATATATAGACAATGAGCAAATACGATAAACCGAAAATGAAATGAGCAAGGATTTGCAATGGACCATCAGAAATTGGAATCGCGCTTTGTCTCTGCTCAGCGATGAGAGGAGAAGAAACCCCGAAAAAAAAAGAAACATAAATGTGTTGCAGCAGCTGAAAGAAAAGTCAGCATGTTGCATTCTGCGTTGTGATGCTGTGCGCCTTTTTCCAAGTACACATCATTCGAAGTATGTTCGTTCAACACACACAGAAATTCCAAACGGAACTAACAATGAACTGCACAGCAATATGCTGAGACGAACAAATACAAATAGTGAAACGAAAATTTATTTCTTCGTTTTATTTTCCGTTTTCGAATGACGAAACGGAGAAAGAGAGTTCCACTTATTGCATTTGGCTGGGTGTATGGCATTGTGTGAGTGCATCGCATTCATCATCTACTTGCAAATGCCATCAATAAAATGATGATAAATGCAGTGCGGGTCTCTCTCTCTCTCTCTCTCTCTCTCTCTGTAGCAAATGCGTTCGTATATGTGCGATGTATATTTGGAGCAGAGTTGCCGTCAAATCTAAAATTCGTTGAGTCAAAAACGATGCTCTATTTTCACGCGTTTACACATTCAATGCAAGCATATGATGCGGAGCGCCCATATGAATTTCGCAGATTTAATGGAATTACTAGAGTTGGCGCTGCTATGAATTTTTTTTAATTTTTTTTCCTTCTGGTTCTTCCCTCTTTTCTTTTTTTCTTCTCAAATTCACTTCCTTCTGTTTTAAGTTCGTTATCGTGAGCTGGGCGCTTCTAGAATGCACGCCGAGTCTCTGACTCTAATCTGTGTGTGTGTGTGTGTGTTTGTGTTCTGGCTTGAGGCGGGAGCAGCGGTTTTAATAGTTTTCATAAGAGTATTGTATGCTCTTACGGGATTAAATCTTAACTTTAATTCAATTATCGTGATTTTACTGTAGACCACATCAACTTGAAAAGTAATATATGTTTCCTTTTAGCGCTATATCGAACCCGATGTGTGCAATGTGCTTATGCATCGAATACGTTATTTATACAATTATTTCTCGACTTTGTTTTCGTTTTCGTTTTTTTTCATGATTGTTCTATCCTTTGTTTTCTCTTCCTCTTTTTTTTAAACCAATTTTTTCTGTTTTCTCTTACAGACTTGTAATTTCATTCTTTTGTAGTTTTTATGCCGTTGTTTCGTTTTCTCATTCTCACCTCGGTTCATGTTAAGTGCAATTGCATTTGCGTTCGGCGTTCGGTCGTGTAGAATCGTAGAAATACTTTAAAATATGCAGCATGTGTAACATGCGAGCGAAGAGGAATAAAATGTGCGAAATGTGATTGAACTGCACTTACCGTCATTTTTCAAGTAAAAGGACATTGTGGGGCGATTGTTTCTTCTCTGTATGTTTTTTTTATTTGTTGTAGTTACTTTTTGGTCGAGTGATTCGTTTATTTCTTCTCTTCGCGTTTTTTTCTGCTTTCGTTCTCGCTTGTTGTTAATTTGAACTTTTATTTGGCTGTCTGATTTATATACTCTTGACGTCGTCGGTCGGTCGGTCGTCGTCATTCAGTGTGGCGTTGAGTTTCGACACGGTTTGATTCCATTTGCGGCGGAATATTTCAGTACGAATGCGTGCAATGTTCGACTGTACGAATGATGCATCGCCAAAATCGAAATTCGCTGCCTTGGAATGTGTGTGTGCACGCAAGCCACCAGCAAATAAACGAACAAAATGAACACACAGTCATCGATGATGACTGAATCGCTTGATGTACGAATCGAGATGACGACAGCTACAAACAATTTTTTTTTTCGCTCTCCACACTTATTAACTATTTCGGTTTCACTTTTTACGCGATTTTTTTTCTGTTTCACTTCACTTCGTTTTTACATTAGAATTAACTTTTGTTTTCTTAATAACTATATACAGCTCATATATTTATATATATTTTCTTTTTCTTTCTTTTCGTTTTCAATTGAGCCGAAACAGAGAGAAAAAAAGGGCTTGATTCGTTTCCGTTTTTCTTGGAAAGAGAGACCAATGTGTTTACACTTCTTCCGAATTTTGTTTTTACTGTGCACACAGTTGGGTTTCGTTCTAGGCGACGATTATCTTTTTTCACACAAAAACCGAATTGCAAGTGTAAATTATTTTGTATTCATTTGCACAATTCATCATTCTATTGGCACTTTGAATCTATCTCTTTGTTTGTTTTGTGCTTTTTCTGTAGTTAAGTAAGTCGATTTTGTACTTTGCCGTCGTCGTGCGCGTCACAAGCACCAATTAAAACACACTCACACGCTTACATAGTCTCGAAAAATATCGTTTTAAAGAAAAATCAATTCAGTTAACGAGATATAGATACACACATTTGATAGATATTTTGTGTTTGTTGATATTTGTTCGGGCTTGATAAATTGGAGCTCTTCTTTTACTATTGCTGTAGCTGTAGCTGTAGCTGTTGCTGTTGTTTCTTTTGCTCTCCATATTTTTTATTTCCCATCACATATCATAGAGTGTGTGGTCGCTTCGTTTGATCTATTTCCAATGGCATACAATGTATAAGTGTCTATCTCCGAACATAGTTGAATATTTATTATTAGCATACAGGAGGGTTTATGTTCGTTTGTTCGTTGGTACGTTTATTGGTTGGTGGATTAGATCGAATTATGATGTTACCGATTTTTGTGTGTCAGTCGACGTAGTTGTCGTCATTGGCATTTCACAATACACACCGATAAAAATAATAGTTATTATTTATAAATATACGTCGTTTGGTCGGTTGGGTTTTTTGTTTTTGTTTCTTCTTTTGCTTGTTGTCGTGTGTATGTGTGTGTGTCACAAAATGATTTCATATATGGATTTCGTCGAGTGGCTCACGATTTCAGTGGCTTTTTTGTTCGGCGGTGTATAGTTTTGGAGCTGACGATGGAGCAGAATATGGAGAATATATATATATAGAGTGTTTAACTATATATACACATTTATTGGACGACAGCAGCAAATCCGATAATGAAAAATAGATGGGGACGACAATATACACACAATCACGAAAATGTTTTTTTTTCTTTCCTTCTATTTCTCACTCCGAAAATGCCTTTGGATTGACAATGATTCTATTGCTATTCTATCGTCGGTCGACCGATAGGACGATTACGAATCACGATACGAAACGACTTTTTGTACATTGAACCCTTTTTTTTAAATGCGTGTTTGGTAACACCGCTCGCGCGTTTCCACAGTATATATATGTGTGTGCCTTCGACGATGAACTAACATTTAATGTCCGCACAACAAACAATAATTTCCCGACTAAAAAATTGAAAAACTTTTTACACAAGCAATTGAAAACGGGAAACGAGCGTCAAGAAGACGCATTTTCAATAAAACAATCAGTCACAACTGCGACGTACTGCACACAAATGTCATCAATGGGAAAGATGATGACAGTATAAAAAAAACGTAGGAACAGAAAAAACAGAACTTTAGCACCGAAAAATAATAATAAAGCGAGAAAACAAATATTAAAGTAGTAAAATTAATTCTTCGGCAGTTCCGTCATTGACGTCTTCAAGTACAATTTATTCTTCTTGTTCGTTGTTTTATTTGAACTCTCGAGCCTTTTTTTCCTTACTTCTCTCTCTCTCTGCACTGTTACTGCTGCTTCTCTATATTTTCATTATATTTTTTTTCCTTCTTTCATATAATTCGTTAGTCGACGTCGTTTTGCTCGACACTGTTTGGCTACACTCGAATCAATTCGTAACGTGAAATGAATATTTATGTTTTTTCGTTCTGTTTGTCTCGTTTTTCACTTATTTATTGTTAATTCGTTTTTTCCTTCCTCCTCCTCGCACAATATTTTTTCATCGTCATCATCATTGTTGTGTCCTGCGATGCAAGTATTGTGTATTTGTTTCGAATGAAATTTGTTTGTATGTTCTTTTTTTCAGTGTGGGAACACAATAGAAATTGATGTTGGTTCAATGTTAGCTCCCCAAAAGTAGCAAAGAATGAATTTCAGCATATAATTGGCATGCACTTGAATTTTTCCTTCTCTTCACTTCTACTGAACTCTATCAGTCACACTTAACTCGTACTAGTCAAGAAGAAAAAAAAACACTTTTATTTGCACAATTGAATCGTTCATCTCTGAGTCACTTTGAAAACCAATGCCAATCCACTGATTCACTCATATTTTTGTTTTACACAATGTTTATCGATTTTTATTCGATGCTTTTGCAGTGAGTTTTGTCTCTTAACAATATCAATTTGGTAGTTTAAGCGAAACGTACGATGTAGAAAATAATTTGCGTTTAGCGAAGAAAACAAAATCGTACATTCATTCAACACCCGACCGAAGCGATAAAACGATTGATATTGAAAACTGGAATCATCGTCACTGGAACACATCAGCCACCAATGTACGATGTGTGTTTCTTTTTTTTTCTTCTCTTCTTTCTACTTCTCCGCTTCTTCTCGTCTCGTCTCTCTTTTTTTTATATTATTTTTTGCTCACTCTCCGTCGTTGCGCACTCAACGGCTCCGCGTACGTTCGCACACCAGAGAAAAGGAACGAAAAAAAAAACGCACTCACAATATTTTTGTTGTGATGATTAATGTTAGAATGCGAACGAAGAAAATAGAGAACACAACGTCGTCGACGACGATGAAGAAGCAAAGAGACAAATGTAATGCTGTGTGTGGTACTAGCTACGTTCAGCGTATGAAACATTCAAAACTGAACGACTCGTTGGTGCGGTCGAATCAACGCGAATTCAATGTGTCGTTCGTATGCTCATGTATCCTCCTTCTTAACGGGTGCGCGCGCGATATACACACAATCTTACAACATCATATCCGAAAGATATTCGGTTGCAATTGTGCGTGTGTGTGTGTGTGTGTGTGCTAGCTTGCGATTCAGAGCGTACGGCTGAGCGAAAAGAGACTTACACACAGCTAGCTAGCTCTTGAATGAAAGAAATGACACTGCCGAGTATTGACATTGAAATCCAACACCGACACACTGCCAGCGGACGAAAGAGAGAAACCGAACGGAAAGACCCTTCGGACCGATTTTGCTTGCGAGTTTAAATGCGCCGAATGTATGGATAAAGCCATTCGAATCCCACACAAATGCACAGCACAGTATATTGACATATGTCTTCCGTCTCGCTCGAACAGCACGGCGAAAATTAGAGAACACTTCGTCGTCAATGGTAAACAGCCGTTCAGATGTGTATGAAAATATGGTATTTTTGAACTATTCTACTGAATGAAAGTATTCAGAAACTTGAATTACTTTTCCCATTCTAACATCAAATTGAATTTCCAATAGAAATAAACCTTCGATAACTTCATAAAAACTGCAATATTCTAATGCATTGAAAACGCGCGAAGCGAATTATTGACAAAACTCCATTCGAACCAACTTCACGTTGATCCGTTGCAATGTTTGCATTCGCATACACACACAGCAGCAGCACATGTGTAGAGTGAAAAATACAGATTCAAATAGAATAATAACAAACAAAAAGCGAAAAACAGCCAGCGAATCGTACCATCGTGTGTATGTAGTCATATTTACAACTTCGCTCAGGAGAACAAGTCGTTTAGTGTCATTCTCATCTGTTTTTTCCATTTCATCGTTGTTGCATTTAGTTTATTTTGTTTACAAGTATTGAATTTCAATAGTTCCTAGCAAAGTCTCTCAATTCAACGTATCGTTTCTTTGTTTGTTATGAATTGTTGTTCAATTTCCGACTAATTTTGTTAATTTGCGCACTTTCAGCATTTTCAGTCGCGAATAATTTTAGTTGCCAGTAGCAAGTTGTTCATTAGTTGGAATGAAGCGTAAAAAAGAAAGCGATTAGTGAATCTGAAAAATTGGTGAAATTTTAGTAAATTATTTGCAACAGCAACGATTAAAGGCAAGAAAACGAAATTGAACACATAAACAAAGTGCGAAAAAAACAATCAGAAGAGAAAAAAGATAATAAATTCCATTCTGAAAAAACGCAAAAGGGTTGAAACAGACAGACGAAGAACTATTTGAAGAAACGCGTGCACAAAGATAAGACGAATTAAAGGCTAGATCACAAAACGAGTGATTTTCGGATAAGAGTGTGTAACACAATTGCTTGACAAATTTTGTTTGTCGCTCCTGTTTTAAATGACTCAGCAGCGTCAGAAAATTACAAAATGAAAGCAATCGAAGCGAAAATCGTTGTGCTCGGCTCACAAGGTAAATACAACTGAAATATATGTATTTCAGTGATTTTTTTCATCACATCACATTATCAAGCGATAACAAAGTGATCGCTCTATAACTAGGCCATTTACAACTGTCACATTAATTTATATTGTTCGATTGAGAAAGAAAAAAAAACTACCGGGAATTCGCAACGCCATAATAAAAACCATAGGCACAACGGAGTCTGAAAAAAGCATATGTTGTTTTGTACACGTCTTGGCTATAAATAGACATTTACCGAAACGTTATTTACTGCTTTTACTTTCGATTGTGAATATTTTATGGGTTTTAACGTAGAAAACTTAACGATTGAATCGATACGATACGATACGATACGATATGATGCAATGAAGTTTTTGTTCTTTTTCCTCAGGTGTCGGCAAAAGCAGCCTCATCAAACAGTATATTTGCGAAATGAATCCCACCAAAATTGCGCCGACCATCGGAGCCTCATTCTCGACGTTTAAAATCAAATTGGAAGAAGGCAAGGTCAAAATGCAGGTAGAATCCTCTTCGAAGCAAAGAAATAAAAATTATTTTTTATCAGCATTTTATAATGAAAAATTCTTTTTTTCATGGTCGACTACGTAGATTTGGGACACTGGTATGTTCTGTGTTTTATTATGTTACTTTCAGTCAATGACAGATAGCTGAGGATATATGCTGAGCATAGAAACTCAGTAAGTTGAGATTGGGACATTTTGACTTTATGACGTGTAGTCCTTACAAATTTATGATGGCATTTCATCATGCATTTATATGGACTACACGTCATAAAGTCAAAATATCCCAATCTCAGCTTACTGAGTTTCTATGCTCAGCATACATCCTCACCTATCTGTCATTGACTGGTTACTTTATCAATTTGTCGCTACAGTTTCTTCAGACTTCATTTATATGTGTGTCACATTGTATTTTTATGATAATTTTTATCACATTTATGAAAATTCATTCGTTTTATAGCTGGTCAAGAGAAATTTCGCGCAATGACACCCATGTACTATCGCAACGCTAATGCCGCATTACTCGTTTTCGATTTAACAAATTACAATAGCTTTGTCGAGGTCAAGGGATGGGTTCAAGAATTACATAAGTGAGTAAACATTTCATTTCTCTTCAGCTTGAGTTAACAATTATTGATTTCCATTATCATTTGTTGAATTCAATTGTCTTTTTATTTACCTTTATTTCAGGAATGTGATTGAGCCCATGATCTTGACATTAGGTAAGCAATTATATAATAATCAGATTATCCCAATGATAATATGTACTTATAATGTGCACTTATTGTTCTCATTAGTTGGTAATAAAATCGATTTAGAAAAAGAGCGCGCTGTATCACGTGAAGAGGCATTCCTCTATGCATCATCGATAAATGGTTCATATTATGAAACTTCAGCTATAAACGGTGGCCGAGGCATTGAACAAGTTTTCATCTCAACTGCCCGTGGATTGCTTCAATTGGCTGAAAACAGTGATTGTTCCTCAATTAAACGATATGAATCAACAGATTCTATCCTTAGTTGTAATGACATAAATGGTATGTGTTATTATGTTCGAATTCGTTGATGGAGAAATTATGTTTTTTTCGATAAGTCACGAAATGAATCATGTTGTTTTCATTTTTCATGTTTGTTCATATCTTTTAAACTGCTGTGTTTGTAATATGTTTTCAGAAGTAACGTTCAAGAACCGATCATAAGACATGTAATAGTAAACTATTCTTATCATTTCAGGTTTCTATGATAAATCGAACTTGAGTTCGGTGAATATGGGCATTCCCGTGGACTTGAATGTAGAAGCAAATGATACTGGTCGACTAGAAACACCGCCTTGGAGTATCAACCACATAGCGCATGGAGACGCACATCGCTCAGGCTGGTGCTGTTATTGAAATCGACCAAATTTAATTTTAAGGGAAAGAAAAACCCCCCTCCCCCTCAAGAATCAAGTTCCAATGTTGAAATGCTAGTTGTAAAATGACATTCGCTCTCCTTCGAGTAAACCTTTTTTTAACCATTGAATTTCACGTACATTTTTAAGTTGAATTTAATCAATATTTATCCGCTAATTGTGATTTTTCTCGTTATTGCTAAGAAATCATTGCTATTTAATTTAACTTCGATTCGATATTTCCCATTAACTAAATGAGATAAAAAAAACTAAGCCAAAATCATTTCGACTGTCGTCAATTCGATACTCAAATCGTGCCAATTTATTTGACTCTTGGCTTTGACGGGTTTGTCAATTTAAAGCACAATTAATATTTAAGCTCTGCCAACTAGCACACATAAACACCATTGCCTACTCGATTCGAGACTTTTGCCTGACACATTTTGTAAAAAACTAGAACTTTTACGAAAGAAAAGAATAAAATAAAAGACCAAACCTTATTTCATTAACAAATTAAATCCGTTTGATTTTTCACTCGTTGTATCGTTTTGAATTGAGTGCTTTTGTTGCGACACATGAACGCACTCTCGTTTTGCAGCTGTCAAAACGACGCGCATTGTGTTTCTTTGACAACAAACTCAGCGGCGTTTTATTCCAATTGTTATATCGAACCAACAAACATTAGTTGAAATTGGGTTTCACAGCAACGTTTCATTTCAAGCAACCTGAAATATATTAATTGAAGACATTTTACAGCGAATTTAAGCAAAATAACACAAGATGAAGATTGAAGAAGTTAAAAGTACAGTGCGAACACAGCGTATAGCTGCTCACAGTCATATCAAAGGATTGGGACTGGACGAGAATGGTGAACCGATTGAAGTGGCTGCAGGTTTAGTTGGACAGAAAACCGCACGTGAGGTATTTAAAACACAAAAGATAGAGTCAATTCCCAATTACTGCATTAGCCTCCTTGTGAAACCTTTGATTTTCTTCACTTAAAAACCACAATATTTCCATTCCTTAAAATTGAGGTTATGTTTTGTAATGAACACAATTTCTATTGCATCATGTTGCTTAGGCTGCTGGGATTGTTTTGGACTTGATTAAATCCAAGAGAATGGCTGGACGAGCCCTGCTATTGGCTGGACCACCAGGCACCGGAAAAACTGCCATCGCTTTGGCCATTGCACAAGAATTGGGAAATAAAGTGAGTCTCAATTCAACCATTTCAATGTGGCTAATATGAAAAAATGCAATGTTTTGTGTAACCAAGTGTAAATTCGTAATGAATTTTAGGTTCCATTTTGTCCGATGGTCGGTTCTGAAGTGTACAGCAGCGAAATTAAGAAGACTGAAGTATTGATGGAAAACTTCCGGCGTTCAATTGGACTTCGTATCCGTGAAACAAAAGAAGTTTACGAAGGCGAAGTGATCGAGTTAACTCCGGTCGAAACCGAGCACCCAACCATGCTAAGTAGCTACGGTAAAACCATCAGTAACGTTGTCATTGGTTTGAAAACGGCCAAGGGAACAAAACAATTGAAATTGGATCCATCGATTTTCGAGTCACTTCAGAAAGAGAAAGTCGAAGTCGGCGATGTGATTTACATCGAAGCCAACAGTGGCGCAGTGAAACGTCAAGGCCGCAGTGATGCATTTGCTACTGAATTCGATCTAGAGGTGAATATTTCCGAAAGAACAAATGAAATTTTGTTACCAAAAATCAGCATTTGAATTGTGAAAATAATCGTTTTATTCGAATTTCAGACAGAAGAATACGTACCATTGCCCAAGGGCGACGTTCATAAGAAAAAGGAAGTGATTCAAGATGTAACTTTGCACGATTTGGATTCGGCAAATGCCCGCCCACAATCCGGTCAAGATGTGCTGTCGATGATGGGCCAACTAATGAAACCGAAGAAGACGGAAATCACCGACAAATTACGTACTGAAATCAACAAAGTCGTGAACAAATACATCGACCAAGGTATTGCTGAGCTGGTGCCCGGCGTTCTTTTCATCGACGAAGTTCACATGTTGGACTTGGAAACATTCACGTATTTGCATAAATCGCTTGAATCTCCGATTGCACCAATCGTCATTTTCGCCACAAACCGTGGAAAATGCACCATTCGGTAAGTTTCGATTGACCTTTTCTTT